TACGAAAAGGGAGCGCTGTAGCCAGCTAACTCCTACTCATAATAGACCGACTGAAATTAGCAGGCCTAAATTAGTCATGTCCATTAATTTCAAAGGGTCTACTCTGAGTAGGTCTAAGAATGGATTAAGAGTCTGAAGGTAACCTTTACGTTATAACTTCCTTTCCTTCTGGTACAAACAAGGAGCTATCTCTACTTTAAATTATATTGCTCTTTGCTGCCCTTCTGTTTCCTTTTAACGTTTTGAACCTGACTGTTCCCCCGTTGTACAGTTTTTGTCCTTGATATTAAGAACTGAAAGCGGCATTATTATCTTCTTCCCATCTTTTTCTCTCCCCTCAGGTCTTTGAAACCCTTTCAAGCTATTTTCTGCTCTTGAAACCGTTAGGTTTGACTGCTAGGGCTCCCTTTTCTCAGTGACTCACAAACACCACTGTCACCCAATGAAGGGTGCTGGACAGAAAGTCAGCAACTCTACCAGCTGCCAGTTAGCTTCCAAACTCCAGTCAAGGCACTGGTGTTCACATTCAAAGCCTTGCAGAGCCTCCAGGCCACATATGTGAGGGAAGCCTTCCTCAATCTGCAATACATTGTTTTGCCATACATTGTTTTGCAATGCAACTCCCATTATCCCCAGTCAGCATGGCTAATTGTCAGGTTGCTGAGAGTTGTAGTTTAAAGATCTGGAGGGCACCGGGTTGGGGAAGGCTGTGTGACAGATGCAGGGTTGAGTTCCCATCCTGCATTACATAGCTGATACCTCAGTCTTGGAGCCTTCACTATGGGACGTTGGATCAGATGAGCTGCAAGGAGCAAGACTGCACTGTGAATCCGGGGACTTCCGGGTTGGCGCGATCCGGGAATGGCGGATTCCCTCCGAGCTCCGGAGGGAATCGGCTCAGCGGTGGATGGGTCTTTGCCGTGCCGGCGACACGGGGACCCTTAAAAACCGCAGGTGCAGATGCCTGCGGACTGAAGACTCGGCGGGTGCCTTAAGCGCCCCCCCTGATTCGCGAAGAGCCTTTTTAAAGGCTATGGAGGGGATACGGGGGACGGCGCGGCACTGAGAGTCGATCGCTACCGCCGCTGAGCGAAGCCGCGAGCCATAACTGGAGAGCGCTGACTTCCTTCCTTGAAATTCGGACTGAAAAAAAAGAACCCGTGAGTAATTTGGAACTGAGCTTTAAAAACTTTTACCTTTTGAATTTGAGACGACCGGGGGGTGTGCCAAAAGGAAGTCCCCATCCCCCCCCCTTGCAGACGATCCAGAGCAACGATATAAGAGCTAAGCTGGAGTGCCTACCCTGTAAAGGGTGAGTTTTAAAAAAAGACAGTAACTTCCAAGATTTGGAAAAGTAAATTTAAGCAGGAGAGTGGAGTGTTGGAAGAGTTTTTGTTTTGTGGTAAACAACCCTCCCTCCCGAGCCCGGGAGCGATCTGCTTTGGAGCCTGTATAGAGGAGCAGAATTTGACAGCTGTCAAAGCTGTCAAATGGACTGTTAATACTGAAAAAATTGCTACTTAAGACCTCTCCGGATAAAAAAGAGTTACAATTGAACTAAAATTCTGGGAAACAAAGAAACAATAATAGGACAGAGGATTGTTGGAGAAAAGACCATCCAGTAACCAGATTCCCTCTAGGGGGAATTCTGTGGAATTACAATGGCTGTGGGTGGAAAGATACTGAGAGAAATCGAAAGGATGTTTTCACTGGTGGGAACCTTACAGGAGCAGACTACAGCTATGAGTAAACAACTGACGGCCTTGGATTTGGAAACAAGTAGTTCTGCTGAATGTAATGAGGATTTGAATGAGAAAGAACCCACAGCTGAATTTGAAATAATAAACAAAGAAGAGGAGAAGACAAAACAAGAAAGAGAACAAGTTATGTGGGAAAATGCTAACCAGAAGCCGATATTTGGAGAATACAAACAAGGAGACCATTGGATGGAATCTATTCCAAGCTTACGAAAGATACAGAAGATGAAAGTGGAGGCCCTGGGAGTTTATGGAACTCAGGAATTCGAAATAAAGAAGTACAATTGGGGCCTCCACATAGACTTTGATTTTGACCATCATCAAGACTCAGGCCTTGTGGAAATTCCTCAGCAGTTGCTTATAAATATGGGAAGAGACTATGGACTGATTGGATTGAATGTTAATGAAATCTTTCGAGACTCGATGACTGACAAAGAGGACTACCAACAAAACCGGCGGAGAGGGACTGAAATAGATTTGAGAGCCTCGGATGTGCGGAATCCAGGCTAAAAACTGTTATTTTGGACATGTCTTGGGAAAGGACGCAAAGCGGGGATGGGAGGGAGGGAAGCATAAACTTAAATAACACTCAAGACCAGGGGTTTAGTAATAAGGAAATTACTTAAGAAAAAATGAGAAATCGAGGGAAGAGAATTGGGGTCCAACTTAGGGAAAACTTATTTTTTGTTTCTATAAAAGGACTAATATTAAGAAGGAAGAAATGCTAACTTGCTGACATAAACCTGGGAACAGGGATGCAAGGGAGGGGGTGGGGGGAAGTCAAGGACTAGGGTTAGAAAATAAGACTTTTTGGAACTATTCATGTTTGCTGTTGCTTTTTTTTATGTTTGTTTTGGTGTTATGTGTTTTGTTTTTGTCTTTATAAAATGTGAAAACCTAATAAAAATTATTAAAAAAAAAAAAAAAGACTGCACTGTGAATCCCAAAAGGCTGTGGAATGATGTGTCTGATGTTGTGAGAGGTTCTTACTTTTCCCTCAAGGGGGCTCTAAAACTGGGATGGGAAACCCCAGACCCGGGAACCAAATATTCCTCCCTGGCCTCTGGCCCTTGGGATTCTCCTCAAGCCACACCCCATTACTACTGGCCCTGCTTTGAACTCCCCTTGAGGATCTCTGGAAATACTTCTTGCTTGTCTCAGTGGAGGAAAATGTGTGCAGAAAATAGCCTCCATCCAAAGCTAACATTCACATTTGTTTCTCTGCTCAGTTCCCACTTTTACCTCTCCCCACACCACTGGCATGTGGACCCCAGAAGGCTGAAGGGAATGTGGCTGAAAATGTTCCTCACACCTGAAACAGACTTATTAGCCCAGCTTTTGGCCTCTGATTTCAGTACTACAGGTTCATTTTTCTCCGATTACTAGCTGCATATAATTAACCCTCTGCCATGAGATTTGACAACTGCCACTAGCTTAGATGACTTTTAAGTGGATTAGACAAATGCATGGATGAGGAGTTGATCAGTGACTATGAGCCATGATGGCTCAAAGCATCTTCCAGGTTCCGAGGCTGTAAAAGGTAATGGAGCCCTGGACGGTTAAGTCCAGTCAAACATGACTATGGGGTTGCGGCGCTCATCTCGCTTTCAGACTGAGGGAGCAGGCGTTTGTCCATAGACAGATCATGTGGTCAGCATGACTAAACTGCTTCTGACACAATGGAACACCATGACAGAAGCGAGAGTGCACGGAAACACCATTTACCTTCCCACTGCAGCGGTACCTATTTATCTACTTGCACTGGCGTTCTGCTTAACATATTAAGTTGCCTCATAGAGTCAGGTCATTGGTCCATCTTGCTCAGTAGTATCAGGGTTCATCCACCCTGGTGAAGACTTCTGAAAAACTCAGAAGCTGGTCTCCCAAACCATTACAGTGGTACCTTGGGTTAAGTACTTAATTCGTTCCGGAGGTCCGTACTTAACCTGAAACTGTTCTTAACCTGAAGCACCACTTTAGCTAATGGAGCCTCCTCCTCCTGCTGCTGCTGCTGCGCCGCCGGAGCACGATTTCTGTTCTCATCCTGAAGCAAAGTTCTTAACCTGAAGCACTATTTCTGGGTTAGCGGAGTCTGTAACCTGAAGCGTATGTAACCTGAAGCGTATGTAACCCGAGGTACCACTGTATTGCTGAAATGTGGCTTTTGCATTGCTCCCCTTCCCCATATGGACCAACACAGAAACTTTTGCTTCTTAAATTTGCTCTGCATTCTTGGTTAGGATGATGCTGACGATGAAGATTTGGCAATAGGACACCTCTGAATTTCCTAATCACTGTATTTCCACTTAATCCTGGAGAGGCTGTTAAATCTCAGCCTGCATAAACATTCGGGAAGGGGTTTCAGATCAAAGCAAGAACCCCTCTTGACTCGCTCGCTCGCACCTTTTCTCACCCTCCTAACACCGCTGATCCCACCTCCCCCCAACCCCATTTCCAATGTCTTGCCCCCAGCCACCTTCCTTTCCTCCCCTGAGCTTGCAGGAGCTGAGCTCAGGGCAGGCTAAGGGCAGCGGCTTCACCGTCTGGCGCGGAGCATGTGTACGCGGCCTCTGCACATGCTCAGTGGGACGGGGGCGCCTAGCAGGCGTTACAAAGCCGAGCTGAAAATGAGCACATTCCTGCTCTGGCGAAGGCAGCGGCAAGACCCGCCCTCGCTCCGCCTGGCTTGAGAGATTTGCTGCCGCCGCCGCCGCCTCGGCTCTTGCTGCCTTCTCGGCTGCCTGAACTGCCGACCGCAGCGGCGGAGCTGAGCGAGGGAGCCAGACGCCGGTGCCGCCGCCAGCCAGCAGCCGGAGGGGGAAGGAACGCGGCTGAGTCCCAGCCGGAGAAGCCTCCGGCGGAGTCTGCCCTGGGGGTCGAGCGGCATCCCGCGTCCGCGGATCGCCGCGGCGGGAGTCAAGTTCTTTGCAGGAGTTGCATCTGGAAGACGGCTCCAGGCGGCTGGTGGCGATTCCTCGAGAAAAGGGAAGAGAACAATCCCTTGCTCTGCATGCAGGACCACTTTTTCTCTTGATTGACACTGGCTGCCTTCTTCCCCATTTGGAAAGTCGTTTCGGAGCTGGCTTGATGGAAGTTCGAACTCAGATGTAGTAGCAGCAGCATCATTGCACTTTTTTTCTTTCTCGGAGGGGGAGAGAGAGCAAAGGATGGGAACGGGAGAAATGACAGGCGGCACCCAGGTCTGGGGACAGAGCCTTTCGATGGGCAGCTGAAGTTCAGGCTTCGCTACTTAAAACGAAACCGGGCGAATGCAAATCCAGCTAGAAGAGGAGGGGAGAAGAAGAGAAAGGAGCGATGTGGCAACCGGATAGTTCTACTCCTGTTTCCTCTTGATATACTGGCATCATTGCTGATGGGATACGACCCCCGACCCCCAAAGTAGGCTGCTTTTTAAGGTACGTCTTTCTTAAAAACGTTTGTTAAACAATGTAAAGGGAGAGCATGAGGTCTTTTTCTCTTTGTTTGGTTCTGTACGGCCGACCTCCTGTTGGCGATGACTTTTAAATATTTGCAGCTGTTGGCAAAGAAAAACTTGTTCTAACTTCTTCAGCCCGGAGACATTTATTTGGGGAGTATACTAATTGGCTCATAGCGCCCTCTGGTGACTTGCAAGGGACTGTCTCGATTAGTAAGTCACAGGTGAAGATAGGGTGGGGGGCACAAATGCAAAATGCACACAGTTATGCACAACGATTGCATTGCAGGATTTTTTTTAATTGTAAAGTTTGCCTTTGAAAAAGAAAAAGCCGTTTGTGTTGCAGGTTGCAGTGTACAGAGACATGAATGGGTGTCTTAATTGTAGAACAGCTTGGTGTTAAAACAACAACAACAACAACTTTTGTTAATTCTGTTATGTTTGAAGATGACAGGCAAATAGCAGTCCAGATTGTGCTTTTGAAGGAAGGCTATTTTGCTTAGCTAGTAAAATAGTGCTTTAATAAATGAAGCATTACATCAATTTATGAGATTTTCTGAATACTGAACAGTTATTCAGTTAGAAGTAAAATATATTAAAAAGTAGATTTTAAAAACAGTTAAAAAGTTAACATCATATTACTTCTGACATGAATATGTAGAAAAACTATTTACAGTGAGATGATCTTTAAAAAACAAAACCAGTAGTTGGCTATCATATGAACACTTTTCTTGTACATTTTGAGGGACACATGTTTGTCTGTTTGTTTTAACAGAGGAGATCAACATGCAAAGCGAACAGATTCCAGAGCCAGCTATCTGTGCATCCCATTTCGTATTTTTAATTTGGCTTTGTGATGAGGCAATAGAACTAATTGAAACTCAGAGACAGGGTCTGGCTTCGCAGACTGATGAGGACCTGAAGATAATGAAAGGCGACATGAAAGCAGCGAGTCTGTTAGACGATCATCAAACCCAACAGAGTTTTCACAACTGGAGGTTAGCAAGTGTGAGAAGGATGGCAGCTCTGCCAAAATTGGCCAATGGAGACATTTTGCTGAGTATCCCTTCCCCACCAAAATAAAGGACAAACTTCTGCGGATGTGTGTGAACTAGGAGAGAATGGGACAGAAGAGGGCAACTTGAACTCCTTAGTTCATATCTTTGGCACTAAATTACATTTGTTTCCTCATTTGCTGTACATGTATTGTTATCAGTGCCATCCTATCACAAGAGAAGAAATCAATGAATTATTTTTTTAAAAAAAAAACCTAAATAAGAACACTTCCACGAGTACACCTGGATGTGCTTTTTCTTCATGGCTCAATAGACATCCTTTCTGTCATTAAATTTACTTGTTAGTCTAATGTACATGGAAGCTAGTGAAAGGTTTCATTGTTTTTTAGCCCTCTGGGCAAAAAACACTTTTCAGCGTGGCCAAAGGGTTTCTAGTCTAAGCGCCTGCACGCCAGCGTTTTTCCAGTGCTGTGTCAACTGATCGGTTCAGCTCAGAACTGTGTGTACCTGGTAGCACAAGGTCCCCTCCGCTACTGCCGCCTGGGTTTGCGTAAAAAGCTTTCAAGTGTATTTTTCCCACGCTGGCGAGTCTGATTCATGTTTGAAATCTGAACAGTGGTTTTGTTTTTTCGAAAGAGGTGTATGCCCGAAGGGAGGAAACTGCCTAATGGATCATGGCTCTAATGTTTACAGGACATTCCTTATTTCTAGCTTTAGTGATGTTGGCAGCCTCCACTTTTGAAGAGTCTGTAAGCAATTACTCTGACTGGGTGACTTTTACAGAGGATGTGGATCCGTATGAGAAACAGAGGCTAGATGATTTCAGGACTAGTCAGAAGACGAAAAAGGCCGTGCTTCACCCAAGCTTATATTTTAGTGCTGAAGAGCTCCCAGCGCTGAGACAGAAATCTCACACCAGCCATCTCCACCTCTTCAGAGCCCTCAGAAATGCGGTGTCAGTGATGCTGTCCAGTCCATCGTACTACCTCCCTCCCCCCAAGCATGCTGATTTCGCTGCCAAGTGGAATGAGATATATGGGAACAATCTCCCTCCTTTAGCCTTTTACTGCCTCCTGTGCCCGGAAGATAAAGCTGCCTTTGATTTTGTGCTAGAATATATGGACAGAATGGCTGGATACAAAGACTGGCTGGTGGAGAATGCCCCAGGTGACGAAGTTCCTCTGGGCCACTCCTTAACTGGCTTTGCCACCGCTTTTGATTTTTTATATGCCTCATTGGATGATGTCAGAAGGCAAAAATACTTCGCCAAGATATGGGCTGTGACTGAGGAAATGTACGAGTATTCCAAAGTCCGTTCCTGGGGCAAGCAGCTTCTTCATAACCACCAGGCCACTAACATGCTAGCATTGCTCATTGGGGCCCTGGTCACTGGAGGGGGCCTAGAGTCCCAAGCAAATGCCTGGAAGCACGCTGTGGTGGACGTGATGGAGAAAACCATGTTTTTGCTCAACCACATTGTCGATGGCTCTTTGGACGAAGGCGTGGCTTACGGTAGCTACACCGCCAAATCGATCACTCAGTATATATTTCTGGCGCAGCGCCACTTTGGGATTAACAACCTCGAAAACCACTGGCTCAAAATGCACTTTTGGTTTTACTACGCTACCCTTCTGCCGGGCTTTCAGAGGACTGTCGGCATAGCCGATTCAAATTACAATTGGTTTTACGGCCCCGAAAGCCAGCTGGTTTTCCTGGATAAGTTTGTGCTGAAGAGTGGGGTAGGCAATTGGCTTGCACAACAAATTAGAAAGCACCGCCCAAAGGATGGTCCAATGGTGCCCTCCACTGCCCAGAGGTGGAGCACGCTTCACACCGAGTACATATGGTACGACCCGGGGTTAACTCCCCACCCTCCACCTGATTACGGCACTCCTAAAATGCATGTGTTCCCTAACTGGGGGGTAGTCACGTACGGAGCAGGTTTGCCAAATGCTCAGACAAATACCTTTGTTTCTTTTAAATCTGGGAAGCTGGGTGGCCGTGCTGTCTATGACATAGTCCATTTTCAGCCCTATTCATGGATTGATGGGTGGCGAAGCTTCAACCCAGGCCATGAACATCCAGATCAGAACTCTTTTACCTTTGCTCCTAATGGGCAGGTGTTTGTCTCTGAGGCCCTCTATGGACCCAAGCTGAGCCACCTGAATAACGTCCTGGTGTTCGCTCCATCTCCCACAAGCCAGTGCAATCAGCCTTGGGAGGGTCAGCTTGGGGAATGCACACAGTGGCTTAAGTGGACTGGGGATGAAGTTGGGGAAGCTGCTGGTGAGATCATTACATCGTCTCAGCACGAGGAGATGATGTTTGTGAGCGGTGAGGCAGCGCCTGCCTACTCATCAGCAATGAAGCTGAAAAGCGTGTACCGTTCTCTGCTCCTGCTGAATCCTCAAATGTTGCTAGTGGTGGACCATGTGGAGAAAGAGGAGGACTCTCCCATTGACTCCATCAGTGCCTTTTTTCATAACCTTGACATTGACTTTAAATACGTACCATATAAATTTATGAACAAATATAATGGAGCCATGATGGACGTCTGGGATGCCCACTATAAAATGTTTTGGTTTGACCATCATGGGAATAGCCCTGTCGCTAGGATACAAGAGGCAGAACAGGCGGCCGAATTCAAAAAGCGGTGGACTCAGTTTGTAAACGTCACTTTCTCTGCAAAGACCACTGTAGCAAGGATTGCCTACATTTTCTATGGGCCGTATGTCAATATTTCTAGCTGTAGGTTTGTTGACGATGCCCGATCAGGGTATCAGATTTCTCTCAATGTCAACAACACAGAAACAGTTCTCTCTGTTGTTACAGACTATCTAAATCTGAGGACAAGGTTCAGCTATTTAGGCTTTGGTGGCTACGCCAAGGTAGCCACTCAGGGAAAGGTGACGAGGTTTGGCCTGGGCACCGAAACAGTAGCAAAAAATGCACCCAGTAACAGGATCGCTTTCCCCTTTGGATTTAAAGTGAATGTCGTTGCAGGGTTGATCTTAGGGATTAGCTTGGCTTTGCTGGCCTTCCAGTGGCACTTTTACATTTCCTTCAGCAGACTCTTGCGTTGGATCCTCATCCTGGTCATCACATTGTGGTTTGTTGAGCTGGTTGATGTGTGGAGCTCTTGCACTCAGCCCATCTGCGGAAAGTGGAGCAGCGATGCGATGAGTGCGGAGCGCAGCACAGGGAAGGACCAGGCACACCCTGTGACTTTGCCTGATGTGGTCATTACCTCCCTGCCCAGCTCAGGTGCGGAAATCCTGAAGCAGCTGTTCTTCAACAGCAGTGACTTCCTATACATCAGGATCCCTTCAGGCTACCTTGACGTCCCCGAAGCCGAGTTTGAGATCGACTCCTTCGTCGATGCCTGCGAGTGGAAGGCGTCCGATGTTCGGAGCGGCCGTTTCCGGCTCTTCCAGGGCTGGCTGCATTCCCTAGTCAAAGACACAAAACTCCACCTTCAGAATATCCATTTACATGAAACCAGCAGAAGTAAGTCTGCGCAGCATCCTGCTGCCAGACAGGACAAAAAGCGGCGGCCCAGAAAAAGAGAATCCATAGCGGAGCAAAGAAGCCGATTGAGAGGGAGTTCAGAGAAAGATGCTGATTACATTAGGGAGCTCAGGAGACACATAGCCTCTTATCCAAACGCACGCCCCGTGCTTAGCCTGAGCAGTGGGAGCTGGACATTAAAGCTGCCTTTCTTTCAAGAAATCATAGGCCCTTCCTTGAGAGCGCTCTATGTAGTACGAGACCCCCGGGCATGGATCTACTCAGTACTGCACAAAAGCCAGCCGAGCCTTTACTCCTTGAGGAAGGTTCCCCAGCGCTTAGCGATGCTGTTTAAAGCAGAGGGCAGGAAAGAAAAGTGTAGTTTAAATGCAGGCTATGCTTTTGAATACGAATCTCTGAGGGAGGAACTCTCCGATTCAAATTCAAACGCTGTCTCTGTGATGTCCCATTTGTGGCTGGCAAACACGGCGGCAGCCCTGAGACTCAATGGGGATTTGCTGCCGGAGAATTACCGGCTGCTCAAGTTCGAAGACCTAGTCAACTTCCCCCAGAAGGTGGCCGAATCCATCTATGCCTTTCTGGGCATCCCTCTGTCTCCCGCTAGCTTAAACCAAATCCTATTTGCCACATCCACCAACCTTTTCTACCTTCCTTACGAAGGAGAGGTCTCCCCGGCCAGCATCCAGGCTTGGCGACATGAGATGCCTCGCGAGGAAATTAAACAGATCGAGGACATCTGTTTGACTCTAATGGACCGCTTAGGCTATCCAAAGTTTACCGATTTAGAAGCTGCGGGTCAGCGGTAGTTTGCACTAAGGATCCCCAGGCTCTTCAATTTGTAGATAAGAATCCAAAAAGCTGGTTTATTCTTGTAAAATGTCTGTACAGTCTGTTACACTTGCAGAGAGAGAGATTATTTTAAAGGAAATGAGATATTTGGTCTGGTAAGCTTCCCCCACCCTCCCTTTTCCTTCCTAAACAACAACAATGAGAAAAAGCCCCCTCGTAATTACTTTTGCTGCCTTTGAAAATAAAGCTGTGTGAATCTTTGCATTTGTTTCCAGATGGGGACTGACTATAGCTCAGAGGATGGGTAATAGGATCAGGGCCTTACATTCCTTGGCTCTTGGCATGAATCCCAGCCGGGCAGGGAGTTGCCAAGTGTCACTGCCATCTGCTGGTTATTTGGTGGCCAGTGTTGGGAGGAGGTTGGGCTCAGCCCTAGTTTTCAATGAACAACTGTTTGTATTGCAAAGCAGACTTGGCGTTTGGCAGCAGTGATCTCCCATGGGCTGGATTTACTGACATGTTATGTCTGCTTTTAACTACCCCAGCGGTGCTGAGAAGCCATAAAGTCAACCTAACCAGCCAGTTAAACTGTGTTTTATGATTGCCTGACATCACTGAAGTGACAGAAAGCAGATCACACACACACTGGCACAATCTTGGCATCCTATTGGCAGCCTTAGCAAAGAGACCAAGACCCAAACTGACATGGAAGCATATTAATACTATTTCATGTGTTTCTTCCACTCCTCAGCAGTAAGGAATCTGAGTCTGTAAGGTAATTTCAGGATAGCGGTTCCTACTGTTACTGTGCTGTGAGTAAATAATTCATAGTCAGAAGTAATGAAAAATATACATACAGAGCCCATTTTTGTGATTGTCTTTCTGACACGGGCATCTTCTGTTGTTTTATCTGGATTACATCTGCACAAAATCTTCTCCATCTCAGCATCTTGAAACCAAGTTGGGCGTGCAGAATCAGTTGCCTGAAAAATAAGGGACATATAGATGGGGAGAACCATGGGCAGATTAAGCAGTAACTGGGGCTGTGCCAACAATGCCCATCTTGGTTTTGCTTTTCTCAGGGATGGGGAATCAGATGTTGCTGGAATACAACTCCCACCATCCCTGACCACTTCCCATGTTAGCTGGGGCTGATGAGAGTTGAAGGGTTTCCTATTCCTTTGCTGTGATAATAGGTATTCGACCAATGCAGGTACACAAATAAATTAGAGCCACCTTTCTTCTCTCTCCACAAGTTCTTTCCACACAATCTACATGCAACAGTTTCAATGAACCTGCTTGGGAGTGTGGATGTGTGTAGTGTGTATCTGGTGTTTGCAGGGGCATAGTATAACTTGTGGGCTTTGAATTAAGTTCCAGCTCTCTGTTGGGAACAATGGAGAAAATGTATGGTGTTGCATTACAGTATTTGATGCCCTTCTCATTGAAATGTATTTATTTATCCATTCGTTGTTAATGATGTGGTTAATAGGATGTATATCACAGTTTTATCTATATCCTACAAACTAGAGAATAGCTCCGCAGACTTTTAGCACAATGACTGCAGTGTAAAATTGCAGCCTAAGGCCGATTCCTCCTTTTCCTAAAAAGTTGACTTTTTAATGCCAGATTTTAAGGGTCGAGATGGCTGTGGTAGCATCTTCATGTGGCAGGAAGAAAATAAATGCCACTTTCATCAGCTGGAACAGATTCAAGAGAATATTTTAACACCTCAGTTCTTAAATCACAGAGATAAATACTTGCTCAAGGAGTGGGAACATGTGCAACACTACCCTGATTTCTCAGGGCCCCTTACTCTTGACTTCTGGAGTAAGTTTGCTGATATAACGGGGCTTACGTTTCAGATTGCCAACTGGAGGAAGCAGGGACTAGGTTGGTTTTAAAATCATTTTTTAATTTCTAAACAGCCCCCAGCACATACTAGGCACTTTCTAAATAATAAATCACAATGGTGACTAACAGCCATGGGCATAGGCAGGATTTTTGTTAGGGGGAACAGGCCTTTTAGACAATCCCAACATGTCTAATCAGAAGTAAGTGTTATTGAATTCAGTGGGGTTCATGGCCAGAGAAGTGGGATTAGGATTGCAGGCTTACTTGCAAGTAAATTTGTTTAGGATTGTGTCTTTACTACAATGATGTAAAGAATGCTGGGATGAGTTTATGCTTTCTCATTTCATAGGTTTACTTTCCACCTGTGTGTCAAATTCCGGTTAATGATGAATGATATTTAATCTCGCCAATCCATTTCTAAAATCTGTTTGCATTTTCATGTCTAGAACACCAGTTCCATCATTCCTTGAATTGCACTGAAAATATATATATTTAAAGGCAGCCACTCTCTTCCACACTATTCTACCCCCTATCCAAGTAGCAGGCAGTTCTCCCTCTCCCCGCCTTTAAAATGGAATGTATTCTTCTGATCTCTTGCTTCACATTCTCTGCAGAAGCATGCCTATTGTAAATGTCTGCGGATGTGTGTACCAAGCTCTAGCTATCAGAGACGCCCGTTTCTTACTCCTTTTCTGTCTAGCATTTCCTTACAAATGAAGTTGCTATGAAATATGTTTCATCTTCTTTGTTTGAACCAGAATCGGAGTTTGGTGCCACAGTGTTGAAATGTGCCAGATGAGTAATTGCCTTTCATTTGGGTGACAAAAAATTAGCTGATGTCAAGAGATTTAATGAGTTTGTCTCCTCACACTGTTAGGAAATTCTCCCGGTGATCCTGAATGCTTCGCTGTGATGTCCTCTCCCCCCACCCTTCCTGTCCTCCACTAACATGTTGCAACATTCTGTGATCTCTCATTCTGACCTAGATAAAAGTAGCTCATTCCCAGCCGTTCATTATTATGTCAAAATGTGCCTCTAGCCTGATAGAGCTGTTGATATGTTGCAGTTTCACTGAGCGTAACTTGGCTGTCACTTGTCCTGGATTAGAAGAGGGACTGGCAGCCCTCTTTCTCTTTCCCAGGCTGTCCTCTGGCTAGGTAGACTGTCACATGGCAAAGTGTATTAATGTGCACTGATGTGTCAGTGAAACCTTGGATCATCACTTTCGTTCATGCCAGGCTGTTTCTCTCTCTCCCTCTCCTGCCATCCTAGTATCAAACATATGCAAAATGAGGTGGTTCTTTTTTCTTTCTTTTTTTAAGACATTGCCAAAGTGAATCTTCACTCTTCAAACTGCTCGGCTGACTTCCAGTGCCTTGTTCAAGGATCAGGGTTTAACACAAAGAATTTCCTTTCAGTGAAGATTTGAGAGAAACCAGCAAAATGGCTGGTCTCTGATAATACTTTCGACACCGCTGATGGTAGGAAATTGAGAGTTCAGTGAAGCTAGGGAGACAGGGTTGCGTGCCATTCTTCAAACAAGAAAGGGTTTGTAATGCATGTCCTTGGTATGGTGATCGCTAAAATGTTCACCTTGATGAGAAAATACCAATAATTGTAGCTTCTCTTTCCACAGAGTAAGCACATTGAAACATGGGACAAATAGAACACTGGAATGAAATTTGAAAGTAGCTTTTATTTTTGCTTCAGCTTCACAGCATTCACTCAGAGCATCGACGGGAATGCTGTTGTACTTGTCTCCTGCTTGTGGGCTTCCTCTGGGCATCTGGTTGAGCAGTGTGAGAACAGAATGCTGGACTGGATAGACCTTTTAGTCTGAGCCCAGCAGGCTCTTCTTATGTGTTTCTATGGCATAACTGATATATGATCCCATATAGCACCCAGCTCATCAGGGCAGCTCCAGGCACACCCTGGCCTCTTGGTAATGTGAAAGGACTATCTCAAACAAACAAAATGACTTAATTTCCCCCCTAGATATGTTTTGCATACTTCTGGTGTGCTAAAGTGAAAAAATGGGAGCCAATGCAGTGACTGCTCAGGGTGTATTTGTGCTTGTGTGTGACAGAAAGAGTTCTAATATATGTGTATTGTAACTTCCCCAACGAACCATCACTGAAATGAACAAGGGCTATGCTCTTGGGGAGTCCTTGGCCCTGTCACTGCAGAATTCCCCAGTGCCGCTTGCCTGTAATACTGACCTACCAAACTGGCCTACCAAATGCAGACCACTTTATATTATGAACCGCCTTCTTTTGGAACAGCACCCCACAGGTTTGCTGTACAGAGATGCTGCATTTGAAATGGCTGAAAGGCACAGTGTAGCCTGAGTATCCATTACCTACCTAAGTCATTAGCTTCATGCATTGTGTACATACATATTTTTGTGTAATTTCCTGCTGGTCAGTAAATATTCCCAGGGGTGGGCAGAAAGGAAGCTTGTACTGCAACTGCAGTGATATATAATGAAGGAAAATCGCTGTTTTGAAAACCACAAATGGGGAAAGTTCGATTTGTAAGCAACATTGTTAAATTACACTCCACAAATGGGCCACACGGTGCCTTTGCCACAGAAACAATGCCAGTGGAATCAAGCTGGAATACTTATTTGCTTGGGAAAGAGGAAGGAAGCATGAATGTATTCTTCTTCTTCTTTGGCGAGCACTCATAGCCAAGTAAGATTGTCTTCCATAAACATGGTTTTAACAGTGAGTCTGTAAGTGACTGTGGGGGCCAATTCTGGATCCACATGTCCTTCCGCTGTGGGGGGCGTATTAATCACAAGGTGGTAGCTATTAGTGGAGGAAAATGGAAACAGGGTTTTACTTTAAAAGATTTTAGTGTTTGTAATAAATATTCCTTAAATGACTTCTAATTCTGTTCAGAGCTAATACTTCTGTATCCTGAAAATGTTTGTGTATAAAGGAAGTCCATTAGTTTTTCAACCAGATGGTACAAAGAAGCAGAATCTGATAATGGTGGGATGCATTCCATGGTTCATATTTTAAAATCCCCCTGCCCCCCCCATGTGAAGGGTGTATATTGGTGTAGGGCTTGGGAGGGAGGGAAGTAAGATGTCAGCTGGGATTCTGGTGCTCATGCCTGATCTTGAATAGCTGCTCTCGTTTGTTGTCTCTTCTCCCTCTTATTTTTCTTGCATGCCTGAGGAAAGGAAAGGAAGTACGAAACAGCCATGTATTATAGCATATTTGAAAAATACAAGTGTTTTAAAATATGATTTTGGTTTTACTTTTAAAATTAAATGGCATGTTTGATTTTGAAATATGTGTAAGTCACATAGGTGTACCGCAAATGTCCGATTTCCATTCTTAGAAGTCTCTCCTTAGAAATGACACTAAATGCACTTTATTCTGCATGAGGCTTCCATTT